TATGTATGTATGTATAGGTGTACGTATATCCGTATATGTATGTATGTATATATTTCAGCAAAGTTATAATTATTATTATGATATACACATGCTATTAGTTGCTATTTTTTTGTTTTCTCCATTTTTTTACAGGTGTGCAGACAGATGTCCGGTGTGTTGTCTTGTGTTTTCTTGGTTTGTATTTCACATATCTTCTATAACCTCTCTTTCAATCTACCCCGTTACATTTCTCCTTTTTCATCTTTCTTTTTCCTTCTTCTCTTTAATATAAAGTCACTGATGATGAAAAAACTAATATTCAGTTCTGTTTTCTACTGAAGTGGGAAAAAAACTTATGGGCTGCCAAGTATAAAATGATAAAATATTTCACTAAATCTTTTCCTTTTTTAGCTCACTGTCTGAGCATAAAAACCAAGTAAAAAAAATCCACTAACATTTTACAGTGATTTAGCTCACTGTTCTTACGTTTTGCAAGTTTTTACCAAATTTTAAATCTGAAATCTAAATGTTTAAATCTAAATGTCAAAGTTAAACCTTAAATGTTGTAACTAAATAATAAAGCTAACATTTAGGAATTTTGGAATGGAACAYAGTCTTTGGTGCACAGCTTTGGTTGAGATGTTATCATCCTATGACAAACACAATGCTGCTGATGCTGCTGATGATAGCATTTAAAATTTAAATTCAAAATGTGTTAATTGAAAACAATATGGCTGGCACCTGTGGTCCAGCAGTTTGAAGTGCAGCTAGGACACCACGCATAACTGCAAGTTTAAGTTTAGTCACAGGATATACAGTTAGCATTTAGCAAAATTTAGCAAAATGTAAGAACAATGAATGACAATAACATGTTAGTGGAAAATTTTAACTGGGATTTTACACTCTGAAAGTGAGCTAAATAGTTGGTGACATTTTTTGAGATTTTATTCAACACTTGGCACCTCTCACAGTTAAGTTATGTATGCTGCAGCTTTTATACTCGATGTGTTTATCTCTTTTTTCAGGAGCAAAAAAAAGTCCTCAGAATTTCTATTGTTACAAAGTTGGTATCTTTATAAGCGCGTCTCCATTCTACTTTGTTTTTGCAAGTAAAATCAAGCATTTTCTCTTGTGATTAGCTGCTCTCTGCWCGTGGCATGTCCACCGAGGGCACGGCCACGAAGCCCTGCCAATGCTTTGTCTGTTTCTGCCAGTCAGGGCGCTCGCGACCATTCATCTGGCCAGTGACGCTCATCACTGCAACTGGATGCACATCAGCCCTCAGCGGGGGCCACGCGGCTCGGCATGGGAAGTGCTCTGATCGCTGTGTGAATATGACAAGAGGTGTTCAGGCCGGGCACACAGCTGTGCTGTGACTGTAACCAACAGAATCGGACCGGAAGCTTCAGTTTTCCCTTTAGGTGCAYGTGAAGACAAACTCACACACAAAAGTGAACAAACACGTCCCTTTGTGCGGCTCTGCCGAGCGCTTTAGTTTCTGTATTTTTGATAAAGCTCTTATTTCCCCCCGATTTTCTCTTGTCTCTTTTTCTGTGACGTCGTGGGCGAAAGCCCGGGTCTAAACTCTGGCTCCGAYGAAAATAGAAAAGCCGAGAGTGGCAGCACAGTCCAATCTGACACGCTGTCAACATAATTCCTGGACTCCCACGTTGGAGCTGGTCACACTCAGAGAAAACAGCAGCTGACCAGAGCCCACTGCAGTTACACAGGTGCATGCTGAGAAATCTTTTTAATGTGAAGAAAAGAGCATTGTTAAACAACACTTCTGCAGTTAATTTACTGATGACAGCTAAAAAATATATAAATACAACATAAGTGGCTGAGTTGTACTAAACTACCGGTACTGTTTCTAAAAAGCTGAGCTGTTTAAAAGTAAAACTAAACAGAACGCTTCTAATGTGAGCTCAGATTTAATTTGTTTGAGTTTATTACATAAGGTAATGCATTTTAATAAAAGTGGGTCGCTGCTTGAGGATGCAAGTGTGTGTCCCACTCAGTGTGTGTGTATGTGTGTGTTCTTTTTGCAATTCTAAGTGTGCTGAGCGCTGACACTGTCCTCATTATCCCAGTTYTCCAGTGTAGCTGTACATTATGATTTCCTTTATGTTCAGATGTTCCATTATTAATGCCTTTGTCGTTTCCTACAGGGGGAACTCTTCACATGCGCAATCCCACCTTCGAKTCAAAGGGCAGTGCACCAAGAACAACTTCTTCTGACTGCTCCCTTTAGGGGGTCTCCACAGCAGCACATCTGTCCCTGTCACACCAACGAATCCACAAACCTCCTCTGTGCTCTTCCTCCAGAGCAGCTGCTCATTCCATATTTGTCCAAGGCTGTCCCTCCTTTGCTCGTGTCCTGACCATCTCATGCCTGGTTCACACGGTAAGATTTTAAAAGTGTCTGTTGATGCTCCAAAATACAAGTGTCTTACCAAAAAAAATGCTTTGGTAAAAGTTAAAGTCTCTTTTATGAATATTACTTGAGTAAAAATCTTAAAGTATCTCATATTTTTTGTACATAAGTACTAAAAGTAAATG